AATAACCCATTCAGTTTGGACAAAGGTTCCAGTCAAGTTCAGGAATGTGGAGCAGTTGGTGGAAATAGTACAGACTTTGAAGGTACTTTTGCAAAAATGTATTTGGCTTGTTTACAGGAGTTTAGAATGTATAAGTTCGAATCCAAAATCTTCAGCTATTGTCAAAGGTAGTTTAAAGAGGCATTTATTGTTTTGGGTTGGTGTTGGTGCTCCTAAGTTTGTTACTGACTCTATACGTGATAGCTACATTATTCCTTTGATTGAAAGTCCGGGTACGCATTTTGCTAATAATAATCTATCGGCTATCAAAAATGCAGAGTTTGTTACTGATGCTAATGAAAAACTCCTGAGAAGCAAGTATATTATTCAGTTAGATACATTTGTACTTAACCACATGTTGTCAATCTTCTGTCGGTATCCATACAACGTTCAGGTCAAAAGAGACTCATTCTCAACTTGAGATTTGTAAATCCGTTATGTGGAAACAAAAATTGTTTTCAAAGGCCATAAAACCGCCTTAGATTTTGTCAAAGAGACTGGTTACATGTTTAAATTTGACTTAAAGTCAGGGTACCATCACAATGACATTTATCCTAGCCAGCAGCAGATTTTGGGATTTGCTTCGAAGTTTTATGGTTGTTGAAAATATTTCTGCTTTACAGTACTGCCTTTGGCCTCTTCTGCCCAGTACATTTTTACAAAGTGTTTACGTCCCTTAGTTGAACACTGGAGAAAATATGCAATTAACATTGTGGCATACTTTGATGATGGTTTTGGATATGATGCATCTTGAGAATTGTCTTCTCAGTATTCTGATATGGTAAAAGATACATGCACTTTGGACAAATCCGGTTTTGAACATGTTGAAAACTCAGTATGGGTTTCAAAACCAAAAATGGAATGGCTCCGATTTGTTTGGGATTTAGATCAAGGTGTTCTTTCAGTTTCGGAGAGAAGGGCAGAGGATATAAGATGTACCTCTGAAGGTTTCGTTGCTGCTGTGCCTAGATTAACAGCGAGAAGTGTGGCTAGTTTGATAGGGAAGATCATATCAGTGACACCAGTATTTGGCGATGTTTGTCGCCTCCTTCCGTGACAGATGCATGCAGAGATTCAGAAGTCTTAAGAAAAAGTTTTGAAAATGAATAATCCAGAATGTGCGTGCGAACTTTTGTTCTGGAGAGAAAATCTTCATTCCTTAAAACCAAGATTGTTGTCAGTGAGTTAGTTGTATGCCAATGATTGCTGCTTTTTCTGATGCGGGTGATATCGGTTGTGCAGGTCATGTTGCATGTTGTAAACCTTGCTGTCACATTGTTTCGTGTGGAAGTTTCATAACAGACTTACAAAAGCTTGCTATGTCAACCTTCGTTACAGCAAGTCTTCACATAATAACGTTGAAGTTCAGCTGCATCTCAAGATCGGAGAATGAAAAGACTGAGGCTTTGAGCAGATTTCAAGATTCTGGTGACTGGAAAATTACAGACTTGGTTTTCAGATACCTGGATAAAAAGGTGGGGCCCACATTCCATTGATCGTTTTGCAAATCAAGTTAACACCAAGTTAGTGAGGTTTAATTCCAGAGTTTGGGTACCTGGCACAGAAGCAGTGGATACGTCCACACAACAATGGGCGGAAGATAACAACTGGGCTGTCCCACCAGTACACCTGATACCAAAGATTATTCTCTTTGTTTATAGCTGCCAAGTACAAACAACTTTAGTTGTTCCTATCTGGGCTTCTGCCCCCTATTGGCCAATGTTGTTTTTCAAGGACAAAATAAGACATTTTGTTGCAGATATGATACAGCTTAGTGCTAACGATTCCATTACAGGTGGCAGCAAGAAAGGTCTATTTGATAAATATACAATTGACACATTATTGCAATCAGAAGTAACTCTCTTTGTTGAAGTTTGCAGAAATGTTTCCGTTGATATATGGAAGCAGCAGAAATATTTGGTCCATGAAGATTTACTCAATCTGTCAAAGAAAATGCATCATATCGTTTGTAAAGCGATATCGTTTGTACAATTCACAAATATAAAAGTGCTTTTAAATTATGGCAAAAGTGGGCATCAAAGTTTGATGAAGTGAGCAGTTTACCGGCAAATTCTTTTCATGTTGTATTGTATCTTACTTCTCTTATTTAATGAGGTGAACATCCACCGACTGTAATTGAAGCTGTATATGGTATGAGCTGGGCTCATAGAATGGCACGTTTGAGAGATCCGTGCCAGAGAAACCATTATGAGACATTACAGTGAACTGGTACGGAAGAAAGGGCCGATTGATACTGATATGTTGAGAAAGTTAGTTTCTGAGTTTGGTAGAATGATTGTTCGCTGTTAGACTTGAAGGTTCTTGCAATGCCATTTATTTCGTTTGCAGGCTTTTTCAGATTTGCTGAAGTTGTTAGCATAAGAAAGTCAGATGTAACATTCAGTGATGGGTATATGCGCATTTTCTTAGAAAATAAGCTTGATTTCGGCTTCTGGGTCTGAAATCTGTCCTGTTACTTTGCAACGCAAGCTGGAATTTGCGAACATTCGCAAGAATACTTATTGAAGTGAAAAATTGAAGTGTGAATATCACACTCTGAGGAGAGAAGCACCTATTTCATATTCCAAAGCCAGAGAAACAGAGAACTTGAAAAATTCCAAGTTTTCATCCTGATGGCGTCACTAAGACCAGTAGTGATTCCATTCTCGCAAAGGACTGGTGGAAACTTTAGGTTCCAGGACGATAATGCTCGACCTCACAGAGCAAGAGTTGCTTTGGATTTTCTCATGCAGCAGCAGATAAATAATCTCCCTTGGACTGCCAAATCACCAGATCTCTCACCTATTGAACATTTGTGGGATGGATTGGGACGTAGGGTTCGAAGCAGACCACAGCCACAGGCAAACCTACAGGCACTCGGACAAATCCTCCAAGAAGAATTGCGCCAATTTCCAAGGGAGACAATTCACAATCTGATCTCAAGCATGTTAATAGCGTTGTCGGTTCTTTTATGTTAACTAAACGATTCCTTTTGGCGATGAAATTACCTATGGTTTTATTAACTCGAGTCAATGTGTTGGGCGCAAATAGGCCTCTTATTGGCCCACGTAATCCCTAAACCTATAAAAACAACCATCAAGCATGCCCAAAAGATGCCAAGCATGCATTGATGCCCGAGGCAGGACCAGAATCTCAATTTTGCCCACACAATGTCAAAATGTAGTTCCAATAAATCCCACCACGACCAAAAATCTTAGTGTTCCCTTGAATTGTGTTACTAGTATGTCTAAGTAACTGAACTGGTTTCAAAATAGTGAGTGTGTGAGCCGCACTCAGAAATATTGCGGCGGTCTGTAAATAATACAGTCAGGACCAGACAATTCAGTCATCAACAGCATGAGCATTGAGCGACCTAATTAGGATACAATGACATGTGTCAACCAAGTCAGCGAGCATGACCACCCGATCCCGTTAGTCGCATCTTAAAAGCATGAGTTACTGAAGATCAATTCTAACCCAGATCTTCACGGGTAAGTTTCACAATAAATTATACTGGTATATTTATAGCTAATCTAAGCTATTCCAGCTAAACGTATAGCAAAAACATTTTCCTTAAATGACAATTCATTGGATATATTATAGCCTGACGTTTTCATAATTTCTTCATTAATATTTGCCTATTTTCGACATCTATAGTTGTACGATTACAAAAACATATGCATATTGAACATATTCCACAGATATGCTAAGGGTTAATGTGAACCAAGTACTGCGTTCAAATATCAAACTATAAATTGGCCACATAACTACTGAGTAATCTCAGGTACTGATTAACGTAATTATCTATCATATAAATTGTGATAAATCGATGTTATTATGGTATTTATATCTTGCGACAATTCAAGTGGTACTGTTTACCACAAGTCATGCTATAAAATAGATGCTGAGCTTGTGCTTTATCAACGATATAGATAACCCTTAAGGGGAATAAAGACAATTATTATGGATATACAACTTCTTTTATTCTGTGGAGGCGACGTTTCGACAGAGGTTCTAATGTCGTTGTCAAGCAAGTGAAAACAAGTCACTTGCTTGACAACGACATTAGAACCTATGTGGAAACGTCGCCTCCACAGAATAAAAGAAGTTGTATATCCATAATAATTGTCATTATTCTTCATCAACACAACTTCTAAAATGCCCATCAAAGACCTCTTAAGGGCTTGAAGATTATCCAAGAGGCATATTGACCTATACGAGTGGGTGTTTTCCTGATCCCTGTCACATTTATAACACTATTAACAGACTAAACACGATTTTTACATTTTCCGCCTCATTGCAAATTCGAACATATTTTGTGCTTGTGTGCCTGTGCCTGTGTATGTACAAAGACAATCGAAATCATGTCATTATTCTTATTCTGGAATTATAAATGCATTACTATTAAAGCTACTCGTTGAAAATAAAACTATTTTATTTGATATTAAAACTGACAGCTTAACCTACTTAGGCTTGATTTGCAGGTAAAGGGACATAACTCTTGGGAACCTAATTTCCCCAGCCTTCACCTCTGGTCCAAGGGAGATAACCCTTTTTATTAAGGTGCTAAGGGCCTTGTTTATGTTTGTTAATGAGCTAAGGGGCAAGACAGTTTCAAGGTCACCTTGGAACCATAGCAGACGAAAATAATATGCAGTGAGAATTTGCAGTAAAAAGAAATGGAAGACACAGATTCCTTCTGTATCAGTGAGTGGGGTTCTTTATCAGGACTGAGTAGCATTACTCTGGACATTCTTTCCAAGGAAGAAATTGTGTCAAAGCAGTGTTTATTGAGATTATCAACAGATGATGTGCTTGAACTGAAACTGCCTCTTGGGCAACGTAATGCTCTTTTGGAAGCTGTGAAATTGCTGCGGCAACCTTCAACCACTACATTTCAGCAAGAATGTGGAACTAATATTGACAGCAGTGCTGGAGTAACAACTAGGGATTTGTCTAAGATGGTTGAACTCAATGACTTACTAAAGGGAATGTCTGATCTCCATTTAAAAGACTATCTGAACTTCAATAAATGTGAAGAAGAGATCTGTGCCAAGGACAAATCACGGAAAGGTGAGAAACCCCATTTGATACATGACTTTATCACTAAACCAAAATCATCTGTATCCAGTGATGAAACTCCCATTTTTAGTGAGGGTGACAATAAGCTGTTCATGAGAAGTAACTCTAAGCCAACGCCAGAACAAGTCTCCTTATCTCAGTGGATTTCTGCTAATGCTAGGATATTACGCAAGCTAGTCGATGAGGGTAAAACTGACATGACTGGAGTAAAATCTTACCTGGATTACACTGCTCAGATTGGCGACTTTGCGCAGACCTACACCACACAGTCAATAATGTTACTTGATGACAAACATAGAAGGCGACTATCAGATGAAGGTAGCACAAGTTGGAATTGTGTAAATTTCCATGACATGTTCTACTACCTAGAAAAGAAATCTACTGCACCAAGCACAAGAAAGCCTCCCACAAGTTCAGCTCCTCATGATAGGAACAGACAAGTAGATCAGTTTGGGAAACTGATATGCATTAACTTCCAACACCCTTCTGGTTGTAAGTTTCCAAACTGTAAATACAGTCACACATGCCTTGTACCAGGATGCAATGAGAAACACCCACAGTTCGAACATCGCAAGGACAAGGAGGTGCCTCCTCGTTTTCGTCCCTCCATGTATTGATAGCCCCCCTGGGTAAATGCTTGCCAACTTGGCAAGCTGAACTGAAGAATGACAAAGACTCAGAATTCATCCTTGATGGTGTTGTTAATGGTTTTCGGATTATTTCTCAGGATGCAGAACTTAAGCCTGTTAGGTGTAAAAACTATAAATCAGCTACAGATGAACATTCAAAAGCATTAGTTGAGAAACAGATTATTCAGGAAATTCAATGTGGAAACTATCTTCCATGTAAAAAACCTGTGACTATTATCAGTAGTTTAGGAGCAATTCCCAAAAGTGATGGCAAGGTAAGACTGATCCATGACTGTAGCAGACCAGTTGGTTACAGCCTTAACTCACATGCTACTACTACCAGCTTTACATATGAGACTATAGATAATGCCTTGAAACTGCTACCCCCCGGAGGATATATGGCCAAAGTTGACTTAAAACATGCCTACCGCAGTGTACACATACATCCGGATTGCTATGCAGCTACTGGGTTATCATGGACTTTTTCAGGTGGAATAATACCTAACTATTTTGTGACACAAAACTTCCCTTCGGTGCCTCGATGAGCCCACAGGTTTTCAATCGTCTTTCTACAGCTATATCGAGGATGATGAAACGTAGAGGGTTTGTGATAGTTGCCTACATGGATGATTTTTGATCATTGTTAAATCAGAAGCAGAGTGTCAAAACGGTTATGATACCCTACTTACCCTGCTAGTTAATCTTGGATTTACAATTAACTATGAAAAAGTGGAAGCACCGTGTCAGAAGCTGGTATTTCTTGGAATTGAAATATACAGTGTGGCAAAAACATTATCATTACCTCATGATAAACTAGTTTCTTTGAAAGTTCTTCTGAGGTCCTGGTCCAGTAAGAAGAAAGCAACAAAACGTGAACTTCAAGTGCTTGTGGGAAAACTTAACTGGGCATCTCGTGTTGTGTATGGTGGACGTACTTTTCTTCGTCGTCTAATCGATATCATGAACTCTTTAAAGCGCAGCTCACATCATGTGCGACTGTCACAGTCCTCTAGAAAAGATATTCAGTGGTGGATAACCTTTTGCAAAACCTTCAATGGTACCTGCAGCTTCCTAGATGCTATTCCGGTGCCCGTGCATGATTTCTCCACTGATGCTTGTTCTACTGGTGGCGCAGCATATTACAAGAATGACTGGTTCTACTGCAGCTGGGAATCTGATTTTCCCAATATGTCGAATGAACACATCAACTTGAAAGAACTATTTGTTGTATATCTTTCAGCTAAGCGCTGGTGCAAGAGATGGCGCAATAAACGCATTGTTGTTTACACTGACAATGTCACTGCAAAAGCATGCATCAATAAGGGAACTTGCAGTAATCCTCTTGCAATGTCGTGGCTTCGTGACTTGTTTTGGCTGTCGGCGGTGCATAATTTCCGTCTATCAGCTAGACATATCCCTGGTGTCCTTAACTTCGCAGCCGACTCGTTGAGCCGACTACATGATCCTAGTCATCTAAGCAAAGCAGTGCCTTACCTTCAGGCATTACCTCATGACAGTGGTTCATGTAATTCCTTGACCATGCTGATGATCTTGGACCAACATATGACTGATAGGGCATTTACTTTTTTGCAGGCCCAGTGGGAGAACAATGGACACTGCTTAGATCTGAATTGTTGCAGCTAAAAAGTCATTGTTATGCGGATTCAACTAAAAGGACGTACTCATCAATGAGGTCAGCATACCTGCGTTTTTTGCCTCTACTTTGGATTGAGACCTGTGCCAGCGGATACACTAACCATCCTACTGTATGTAGTGTTTCTCGGGCGGACACTGAAAGCAACCAGTATCCCCAATTATGTGAATGTTGTGCGCCTTATGCATGTGGAAGTTGGACTCCCAAACCCGACAGATAACTGGGAGTATAAACTCCTACTCAGGGGTGTCAACCGGTTGAAAGGTGTACCACCCAAACAGAAGTTGCCTATCACTGTTCACATCTTGCAGGAGATTCGGAACAGGATCGATACATCTGTTGCCTTCTATAAGGCATTCTGGGCAGCCTGTGTTATTGCCTTCTTCGGCTTTCTCCGTAAATCTACATTGTTGCCCCGGAAAGAGAGCGATACCCCCTCTCATTGTCTCCTCATGTGTGATGCTAGCTTGTCTGATGACAAAAAATCTGCAACCATAGTGATCAGACACACCAAGACAATTCAGTTTGGACAAAGAGTACTCAGGTTGCCCCTCCACTGGATTCCGGGTTCACCCCTGTGTCCAGTGAAAGCTCTAGACAACTTACTCCAGCTGTTTCCACCGTCCATCTCACAACAAGGTATTCCACCTTTTTCCTACTTGGACAATCATAGAAACATTAAGTGCCTGACTTACAATACCTTTGTGAGCACCCTCAAGAAAATCTTGACTGTATGTGGATACAAGGCAGATGACTTTAGCGGACATTCCTTCCGACGAGGAGGTTGCACATTTGCCTTTAAAGCTGGACTGTCAGCACCGTTCGTTAAACTGAGAGGTGACTGGAGATCCAATGCATATGAACGTTACATCACTTTAGATGATGAGTTACATGAGAGAGTGTCGCAAGTGCTCAGTTTGTATGTACTTTCTAGTTAACTGATCTTTGGGGGTTTGGAGGAAATTGCAGTGTTCGTACTCATTAATTACATGTTTGGATTTGTTTATGTTGTCAAGTTAAAATAAACTTGACCCTTTTCCCCCCCAAAGATCAGTTGTTGTGTTATCATTAGTATTGTTACACGTTTTGATAAACTATGGAAGGTTTAATTGTTATTGAAATATATCAATAAATAATAATGGTACTGGTTTGTGGAACATTCTACCATGACTACATGAAATACTCGAATTTGATTGGGCAATCAATAAAATTAGACACTATCAATTTGGATTGAAAATGCGTCTGTTTCTAAGACAGTGCGCTTCACTGTGTTCGTATACAAAACTGCCGCACTACTACTTCAGCTTGACCACCAACATGGCTGATATCAACACAACAGACGTGATGGAAATGTTAATAATAAAACATGTATTAAAACTCGAAAAGTACAAATATATGATTTTTCCTCCACTATTATTAGAGAACCTCACTATCATATTACCTTCTATGATAAGAATATTCAAACTCAATTATAATGTACAGCCCCGATCATAAACATACAATATCTAACTTATCAGAAAGCCCGAGCTTGTAAATATACATCCGTATTTATACAAAATTTACAAAAATACGACAGTAAGATTTGCCTACCTGGTAAAGGGTACATTTGTTTCCGTTTAGAATGGTTTACACAACATTTTATATCCAGTAAGTTTGCACTTCCTTTCACACCTTCGACACTTTTCTGCGGAACTTAGGATCAGGCGAAACACCAAATTTATGCTCTCCATACTCCCTCATGTCCCGTTGCATCGTTCAATAAGTACATGTCAAAAATTGAACCACCAGAATTCTGCTTTCTGCCAGCTTCCCTGCAAGACTGTCAATGCTGGTGATCCGGTGTGTGTGTGTCGTTTGGGTGGGGGGTGTACGCGCGTGCGTGCGTGCGTGCGTGCGTGCGTGCGTGTTATAAAAACCAAGCCTTTAGGGTTTTACATAATTGTTTACCAACGCAGGTTTCAGAAAATAAATATACTGAGTCAAAAAGGAAACTTCACATTCTTTCTTCTGGGCACTATAAAAGAACAAGCTTTTGGTAAGATGGTTAAATTGTTATTATTTCATTGCTGAGATCTGTGTGATGTACTCGATACACTGACAGTGCCATAATCAGTTCCATTAGGCTACACCGCCGTTCCAAAACATGGGTATACAGAATGTCAAGTCACAAGAATAAAAATGCGAAATTTCTCAGTTCAATATCGTGTATGGCCGCCCCGCGCATTCACCACTGCCAAACACCGTCTCCTCATCGACTGCCTGATGCTTGTGAACACGTGGTTGGGGATTCTGCGCCATTGCTCTTGCAAGGCAGCGCCAAGTTCCTGCAAATTCTGAGGTTGGTTCCTAAGACCACGAAGCCTTCTCCCAAGTGCATCCCAAACGGAGGTGACGTTGGTCCCACAGCAGACGTTGACGTTGATGAAACGGCGTCAATATTGGCCCACGATATGGACGTCGAGAATGGAGATTGGCAGCCCGCAACCGATTTCGAATGGTCTGTGAGGACAGTCGACCTCTAAACATCTCAGCCCTGGTTCGTGTAGCCGGCAGAAATCTGTCACGTAGGTGACGTGGGACGATTTGACGGTCTTCTGCTCGTGACGTCACACGTGGACGACCCGACCTTGGGCGATCAGAAGTGGTGCCAGTTTGTTGTAAACGACCTCGCAAGCCATACACAGTACGACGGCTGCATCCCATTGCTCTTGCGACGTCAATAACTGATCTTCCCGCTTGCAACATGCCAACGGCACGTTCACGTTGCACATTTGACAATCGTGGCATTTCAAGTACCGTTAGAACTGTGGTTTAAAAGTGTTTTTTCAATTCTTGAGGCCAATGCAAACACGTGCATATGAAGAAAACTTCGATGCGAAGATCACGTGATCGACTGCACGTGCAAAACCTGATTTGGCACCAACGTCATTTGCATGAGGAATGGATGGGTTTGAGTGGGTTTTGCTAACGTTTTTCTAGAGTCGAAAGATAGGGATCCCATTTCGGATACATAGATGTATCATCAGGGAAAAATTGTTCATTATTTTTCAAATTACATTTTGTGAAGTTTCTTTTTTGACTCAGTACATTATTGCATTGTTTGTTTCCTTTAGACAGTTCAAACACAGTACGTTCATCTCCTAATTAATGTCAAAAATGTTTTTAAAACTTTTAGAGTACCCTGGATACTTATATTCTATCTTGTATTGCCAATTTTGTGCCTGTATGAGGACACATTACAGATGAAACATAGTATATAATTGCCTGTTCATGCCAAATATCTACTTTTCCAATTCTTAAATATCAGGAAAAGAAGTACATTTGCACTAAAATACGCAGAATGCAGTTTCAACAACTATTTTAGTATTGTTGTTATTATTATTAGAACAAAAGATGTGTTGTCAAACGGCAATATGCAAGCTTCTGGAATGTTTAGCACTATTGGAATTAGCGAAAATAGAGACAGGCCTTGTTTTCATATATTCATGAAGCAGTGCCCTGTAACCCTACCTGACTTGTCTGTCACAGAGCCCCAGTAATATAACGACTATAACGACGAAGAAAATAGTAATAATGCAAGGCTTTGATAGTTCAGCCAATGTAGATGTTATCAGTTACGTCACACGCCTTGATTCAATCACATTTCAGAGAGAATCCAGATACTTTTTTCAGTGTAGAGACTCAAGTAAGGACCACAGGACGGCATTTTAGCTGATTTGCCTTCAGCTGATAACCAGGCACATGTGGCTGCCTGTTTAACGCAAAAATACTTTGGTTTAAACGTATTTGTGTTCATAATAATGAATTGGGATTGGTGAACAAGCTTTACAGCTTATCTTTACACCGCTCCCATACAACATATAATACAAAATGAAATGAAGGATGTGACGTCATCGATATTGACTGTTAATATAAATCAATCATGAGAAGTTTTTTATTGAGTTGATTTAATTATTTACTGTGAGAATTTAAAGCGTTGTGTCTTGATAATAAAATCGTGGACGGATTGAACGATTTTCTCCTTTTCACAGTGTGGAAGGTCTTCATTTCCTTTCATACTGGTATCCAGGTGTACATATTAAGTCTTATCTGAGTATAATTACCACAAATAAAAAAATAGTGTAGAGCGTTTTCACTCTGTTATCCACAAGAGCAACACGAACTGTCTATTAAATGCCTGTTATATTTATCGGCGTTTAGGTAGCTACAACCGAGCCTGAATGATAAAATCATATTTTCGGTTTTTGGGATTAAGTTTATAAATTCTGAGAGACTACATGACCCATTGGAATTTGGTAGAGCATTCCATAAATTTATTGCGTCTGGTACAAAGGAGTTGGCGTGAGTCAGTTCGACTGTAAATTCCTTGTATTTCAGAGCTATTTCTGAAATTATAGCTTGTAGTTCCGGAAACGGAGTTTGGGATCAGATCACAAAAATAGCTTGGGAATTGGTTATTGTACATTTTAAAGAAAAAAGTTAATTTTGGGCAGTACCTTCTATCTTGCAAGGACTGAAGCTTGGTTTCATTATAAAGTTTGTTGTGACTTGTGCCACGAACGGCACCACATATAGCCTCAAGATGTAAGTTTTCTAATATACGCGATTGCTCAGACGTACAGTTATCCCAAATGTGCGAACAATAGTGAAATATTGGCAAGATATCGGTTTTTCTTGATAATCGGTATTTAAAACTCCTCAGACAACTGATAATGGGGCGAACTTTACGTACAGTATCATTAGTGTGATCATTCCACTTACAGTCGCTGTGGAGTATTAATCCGAAATGTTTATAACTTTTTGACTTCTTTTATGATTGTTCCTTCCATGAGTAGGTTCGGTTTTAGAGACGGTTTCGCTTCCCGTTAGTAGTGTCGGTTTATTTGGGTGAAATGTAACTTGCAACTCACGGGCCCACTGTAAAAAAAATTCAGGATAATTGTTAAGACAGGCAGCAGCAACTGATGAAGAGAGGAAGTTGAATGCATATTTTAATACACATTTCTCAAAGACTTTCGATAAACAAGATGTGAGTGCGACAAACGGTAGTTTGAACATTCATGTACGCTATTTTTCTTGTGAATAGGTATTGCCGTTGCTTCTTTCCATGAACAGGGAAAGATTGATTTGCTGAACAATAAATTGAATAGACTATTTGCGGTATATCTAAGTACTTTATTTCCTATTCCATCCGCACCGGTCGCTTTTGATGTGTCCAATGATAATAAGATATTCCTGACGTCATCGTGGGTAAGAGTAATGTTAGGTAATATTGGGTGACAAGGAACCTTGGTATCGGGCAAATCTCGATTTGGATCTTCAATAGCTGACTGAGCGATAAAGTAATTATTTAAAATATTTGCGATTTCTTCGGGGTCATTATGGACTGTATCGTTGAAACTAAGTGTTGGAAAATGGCTGTCATCGTTGCGTGATTTTATAAACGCTTTAGTCAGGCGCTACCACGTTTTGGTACCGAGCGGAATCTTCAGACGAATATTTGTTTAGTACTTCTGATGGCGGAAGTAACTTTATTTCTTGCTGATGATTACGTTTCCGGAACAAAGATCGTATCTAATAGTGACAGTCTTATTTGTTCATCGCAGATTTTTGTTATTGCGGATGTTAAATCGGTTGCAATCTTATCTATATTATAGGAAGACAATAAACTTTCACCTTCAATATCATCGACACTCGTGTTCATATTTTCTGTATGAACTAACGAGTAGTTATATGAACATAGTGATTTTTTCTGGGTTACATCTCCTTTTTATTCTCGAGTACAACGTTTCAGGGCTTGTTCTGGCCCCTTCATCAGGTAAAACTGAACAGTAAATGTTTTACCTGATGATGGGGCCAGAACAAACCATGAAACGTTGTACTCGAAATTAAAAAGAAGATGTAACCCAGAAAAAATCTCTATGTTCATCAAATATCATCTTCTAAAATGCCAATCAGGCATCTGAGTAGTTATATATTTTCATCTTATAGTTTATAGGAAGGGGAATTGATTCTTTGATGGTCCCAAATATCGGACAATGGTCACTGCAGATAAGGTCAAGAACTCCCGATTCATTTACAGCTTTAATATTTGAAGCAAAAATCAAATCTATCAAGGTACTTGAATGTGGTGTAATTCTAGTTGGTTCAGATATAAGTTGTTTAAGATCGTACATTAATTGAAGGTAATCCAAACAGACTATTAGGCTTGCATAACCTGTAACGATGAACGTTCGCTCGCATTTAGTGAGTTGTAACTAGGATCGACAGTTTTCGTGTTGTTTGCTATCATTCCATTGAAACATGAGTAAGTGAGAGTTTTATTTTGTATGCCACCCTGTGGAATAATTTTATACTGGAGCTGGGTGATGTTTGCTTGCGGATGTATGCAAGGAAAAAAAGTGAGATTATTTAGGGTTTTAGTGTTTCTTAGTTTTGGTGTTTTGCGTTTGTTTTCTAAGACACAAGTGGTATGTGAGATGTTTCGTGTTTTGTTGTGTTTAATGCAACATGTTCCTGTATTTGTTTGGGGGTGGGCGTTGTTGCCTGGGCTGTGGTGGGATTTGTAACCCGCAAGGATTGATGAGATACCTTGAGGGGTGATTGCAGTTTATTTGTATTTTGTTTTTGGCTTAGTTTAGGTTGTTTGTTAGTGGCTATTTTGCGTGCTGGAAACTGCTGTGGCCAGATATTTCCTGGATCTTGGTGGTTTGGGTGCAGTACATGTGGGTGAATTATCGGAGAGAATCTCCCATACCGATTTTGTAGCGTGGACATGTGATGTGGTTTGTTTTGGAGGCACAGTGTTTTGTCTGCGTGCGTTTTTTTTCACTCCGAATTCAGCTGATATCTATACATTTGGGAAATTAAGCTGTTGTAGTATTTTGTTTCAGGGTGGAGAAAGACCATGCGATCGTATCCCAATTGCGTAGATCAATGCTCATACTGTTGATCACTAGATTGTCTGGTCCAGGCTCGATTATCAAAAGACAGCCGCAAAATAGCTGGAATATTGCCAAGTGCGGCGTATAATTAAACTCACTCACTCACCCAATCGGTCACTATGCTCAATTTCTAGGACAGGACACACACTTTTATTCGAATTGAATACTGTGCACACTAGCTACTATTAAAAGACTTACTGCACCCCAACACGGAAATATGACTCAACTCCGGATATTTTCGGGTTTCACTATGACATCATCAAGACCCTTCGTGGCAGCACAAATGGTATATTCGCATGAGACATGGAACCAAGTAAGAGATAGCCTGTATGAAATATGTCAAGCCTAAAATCCCTCCTCTCATATTCAATCTGATTTCGTCAGGAAATTCTAAGCATATTTCATTAGCTGACACCACTGCTTGAAGCAAAACTGATTACCAGTTAAGTGTTTCCATATCGTTGAACAACACATATATCCAGAGTTAATAATATGGAGATATATAGTAACTCGTCTATTTTGTAAACATTGAATTCAGCTTTAAGATTCTCAAACAAAGCACAAATCGTTTGTATTTCAAAGTTTATTGAACCAATTGTATTGTCATGAGTTTACAAAATAAATAGTCTTCTTCACACTGCAGGTGACAGTAACTCAGTAGTAGCCGATTCCTGAAACAGAAAAAATAGTTACATATAAAATTGGGATTTATGGAAAAGTAACATGGAAATGTTGAAACTGCTTGCACCATAAACTATACCAAGCATTTCAAACAGCTGACAACAGTTTTACAGATGTTTATCAACTGACAACAGCTTATTTGCATAAAATAGTACTAATAAATACATGGGTACATGATATCATTTTATAAAAGTGAAGTTTAAAATGGGATAACAGAAGAAAGAATGACAGCATGTGTTGTGAAATACCTTTTCCTAGTCCGATTCCGTAGCCTGCCATTCCGTAGAGACCACCATAGCCTCCAAATCCTCCAAGTCCTCCATACAGACCTCCCATGCCGTATCCGTATTTGCCTCCGTACAGACCGCCCATTCCTCCGTACAGACCGCCATAGCCTCCGTAAAGACCTCCGTGCATTCCACCTATTCCGTAGCCTATGCCGCCCATTCCGCCCATTCCTCCATACAACCCAGCCATTCCATATGCTCCATACAGACCGGTTGGCTCAGCAAAGGCGGTAACAGCCAGGCAGGCAACAAGGACGGCGACTATTTTCATCATTTTGAGTATCTGTTCAGTAACATAAAAATCATCTTCAAGACAGGAAAACAACATGTTATCATTACTCGTCTGGAGAATTGACTTCACGCCACTCCTAATGAATAATATTATCATTTTTCATTTCATATGCATCCACATCCTGGAAAATTTACAAGAACGGTAAATATTCCTTACTTATTCCTACTTCGATGAATTGGATCAATGTAAAAGTGTAAAAATATACATGTTTACCACAGGCAAACCTTGACATGGTACTTACAGTTTGGTGTTAACACGTATCTGTGTCTTAACAGCAGGTGAAAATAAGAGATGATAGAATACTTTCCCCTCTCCTATATATATACAATTGGTGGACTATATGTGATTGATTTACCTTGGGCTGGCCACTTCCAGGTAAGCAACACACCTTAACGTTAATGATGTAAACTCATTATTCTTTTCGCCTCAAAGGTTCTGCCTGAGGTTATCACCCTAAGGCTATACATGTGTGTTGGTATAGATGAACGTTCATTCAGGAAGTAGAGGGCGGTATATAATAGGGCTGAGGTGTCTCTTCCTATCTTTCTGTTCTCTCTACGGCATGGTTTAACTGCATTTAAACAGCTTCCAGTTACCCAAATTTTAACCAGTATTAAGCAAATATTAGATAGTAGTTTGGGAGCTGTGTATCCATTACACATGTAATGGAGCAATGTAAATTACAAGAACGGTAAATATTCCTTACTTATTCGTACTTCGATGAATTGGATCAATGTAAAAAGTTGTACGGCATGGTTTAACTGCATTTAAACAACTTCCAGTTACCCAACTTTTAACCAAATATTAGATAGTAGTTTGGGAGCTGTGTATCCATTACAGATGTAATGGAGCAATGTAAAATCAGACATTATGACAAATGTGCCTGAGACGAAATTACAAAATACGGGGCAATTGAAGCAACGCGCTAGTACAGCGTCGCCACACTACAGCAGTATCACTGTGCTACAAGGGGTCACTATGCAAACATCTACGTGTAATACTGCAGCCTGTCCACACGATGACTGCATGCTTACTATACTGCAGAAATCCCAATACCCTAATATTCTCCCCGAATGATAACAATCTCACCACACTGAAACAAAATACTACAATAGCTTTATTTCCCAAATGTTATATACATATACTAGTGTCTATTCACAAAGGGCCTGTCACTATCAATTGTCACAGCACGCATTTAGCTGTTAAACACAAAGCACCGATGTCTTCTGAAAACAGGATTAGGTTTCCCCTATGACATACAGCATGTTCCCTGGTATTTGTCGACTTTTCTTTGCATGTGTTTCTCACTGGTGTAGCAGAGGGGTTAGGATACACTCACCTCCTTCGCGAACACTTTGTGTCATCACTATTTGATAGAAAGTCATGCACACTTTCCTAGGATATAGTCACAATCGTACAGTGGACTCTGCCTTTAGTGGATATTCCTGACAATTACAAAAAGGGTTGTGTCGCTTTATTTTACACCTATTTTCTTTGAAGTAACTGTGGATTTCTTAATGATATCGATCTTCTGATGAAACAGAATTCGCTAATCATAAAGGGAACAATTGTACTGAAACATATACTGCTTATTAGCCAAGACACCAGGTGCTAGCCAACAGTTTGTGGCTGTAAATTCTTTTTTAATGTTTCATGACCTTTCCATTCGGTCCTTCTTGTACCAAATTAAATAAATGTTGTCTTTGGATAATGGCTCAACAATTGCTACAATTCAATGTATATTTAATCACTGTTGCAAGTGATTCACTTCAACTTGTTTTAGGCTTCCGGAGAATGTTTGATCATAAACACCAGTAGGAAGAAGAAATAGAAAACTCGTCTCTACCCTTTACATATGGCCTTTACATCATGAAAACAGTCTTCTGTGTGTTCATAGATAATGGTACTGTTGCGTTAAAATCAATCGTGTCCGATTTGATAAATCTGTACTTTTTGATAGTGCATCCAGATAGAAATACTTCTCCTGTTAATTGCATCAGCGGTATGCAAACGGTTAGATTACATCATGAAATCAAGAAGTAATATAAACTTCCCATGGAGTGTACAAAATGATTGGTATTGTCATCAACTGTTATCGACTATTCATAGCATGTTCAATAGTAACTTATGATTGTAGACCTTTTCATTTTGTTTGTGTGATGCATAAACCGATAGCATATGCTAATGTAATGAAATTCCAACTGCTACGTAATCCCTTCTAATAAAGGCAGTAAGAATACTACAGCATGTGTTTGTTATTTATTCTTCACGACCATGGTATCATTTTTTTTTATCACAGGAACATTGTTATTCGTCAGCCAAAGGACAATGCATGTTCCGTAAAGAACACTCGCTCAATTTCTAGGACAGGTTACATACTTGCATTCGAATCGAATACTGTGCACACTAGCTACTATTAGATGACTTGCTGCACCCCAACACGGAAATATGACTCAACTCCGGATATTTTCGGATTTCACTAGTATTCAGTATTCAAGTTTATTTCGTAACAAGGCCTTAGGCCCACGTACAATACTAATAAACATGTGTAATTATAAGATAGTGGCATTTGACAATCAGATTCATATGCATAAAGAACGCAATGACAATGCTTCCTTAATGTAAGAAGAACAATATGTTAGTGTTGAAGAGATAATGTGTTCAGAAAGTATTGTTGATCTATGTAATTTGGTAATGCTTTTAAATATTTACAGCGCAAATCATGATAAACTTTACATTCAAATAGGAAATGAAATTCTATTTCTACAAAATTATCATTACAAATATTACAAAGTCTTTGGTGCCTCGGAACTACATGAAATCTACCAGTATTTTTATATATTGGAAGTGCACCGATTCGTAACATTGTTATTCGACGCCTCGCATCTTTAGATTTCAATTAAGTTAAATATGGTTCAATACAAAATACACTTTTGATACTGGAATAGACATCAAGCGATGAACATTTGTGCATTTCTGAAAATATGAATTGCCTTTGACAATCACCAACTTTTACATGAACATTTTCAAAAACTGTTCCTCGTTGCCAACTCCTTGAGCTTCCCACACAAAACAAAAACCATAATTGCACAAATATTTCGGACAAAATATACCCACGTTTTCCTACCAACTTTGTCTAAATTGTGCAACATAATATAACACTGCTTTGGAGATCTATCCTTTGGTAAGCGTAAAAGTTTGAACCAATACTTCAAAACACGTAATAAACTATCAACATAAATATAATTTTTACCACATTCCGCCAAAACAGCCGCGTTAAAGCATTTATAACGTACGCCCAACACATACTTACAAAATCTAATGTGAAACTGTTCAATAACATGCCATTTCCAAAAACCCCATATTTCCGAAGCGTACAAAATTATCGGCTTTATCTGGACGTCAAAGATTTTGAACAAAATAGTTGGAGAAATATTTTTAAGTCTCCTACCAAAAACCTTAACTGAGCACAAGGCGTTATTCACTTTATTTACCAGATTTTGAACCGATTTAGACAATGAAAGTCTATTTGAAAACAATATACCCAAATAATTATAATATGTAGAAAATTTAACTTATGATCACCAAAGTACCATGATTCATACCGCCTCAATTTACCACCATTTCTAAAAACTAGCACCTCTGTTTTCTCAAAATTTACAGACAAGCCCCATTTTTTACAAAACTGTAGTAATACGTTGATCTTCCTCTGAAGACTAATGGAAGATTCTGCAAACACACATAAATCATCTGCATACAGTAGCAAATACAATTCCATAAACTCTGGGTCAATAAATACACCCCTGTCACCACAAGTAATTATATCCGTATATAACTGGTTAACAAACAACGCAAATAGAAGAAGACTTAAAATACAAATTTGCCGAACCCCACTGAAAGAATCAAGATATTCCGAAACATTTAAATTGTTTGGCTTAACACTAGCCTTTGTCTTTGAATACATATCTCTAATGATCTTGAACATAGAACCATGGACACTATTAGATAACAGAACAAACCAAAGAAGATCCCTATTAACTGAATCGAATGCCTTTCGGAAATCAACAAATAAACAATAAAATCTGCCTCCTGTTTTGACAAATATTTCTGTATAACACTTTGAAGTGTAAAAATGTTAACAACCGTAGAATAACCTTTACGGAAGCCACCTTAACACTATTTGCTATTGTATATTCCTCCTTCTTGTGACGACTTCTTGTTCTCTGAATTTCTTTCGAACTTTATGAAACTCTTGAAGGTAAGAAAAATCCCCAGACAGGCGGAATCTATCCAAAAGTTCATATTTATCTTGTTTTAAATTTTCACAGTTCTGATCAAACCATTGCTGTTTCTGACTATCCCGTCTCCTCGTAGAGTTCGAGTTCATTCCACAAAAGATGTAGTTTTTTGGATAATGTCAGTCAGCATTTCTTGCATGGATTATCCATAGTCATCTCATGAAAGACATCAAGAGGCAGTGAGTTTAAGTTTACTTTTAAAGTTGAGTCAAACTTGTCTGCATGGGAAGGTCTCCACATGTATTTCTTAATCGCAATTGTGTCATAATGCTCCGAGTCGTCAGTATTCTGGAAGAAACACTTTAGCTTACAAACAATAGGCAAATGATCAGATTCTACTGATGTACACACACTGAAATCGCTAATTGAGTTGAAGAGATTAGTAGAACATAATGCATAGTCAACTAGACTATGTCCTTTGTTTGCAATACATGTAAATGCTCCATGCGGATCACTCTTTGATCTGCCATTGAGAA